TTTTCAAAAAAAAATAGCGGTGGGCCTTTTATATTACAAATAAATCAATATCCAATCGGCCAATCATGGATTATATCACTGGTTATTTGATTTCTGAGTGCCACGCCTAAAGTAATAACACTTTGCTACACGTGGGTAACCAGGCAGCGATTATTTGAAATATTTAATCATAATAAGTGTCGGCCTATCCATATATCTGCGTCATTTAATTTAGTGTTGAATCATGTGAATGCAAATTGAAGTGAGCACAAAATGCACATGTATGTATTTGACTTATATTGCATTTTAAAGAAATGCAATGCCTTATATACCACTATCTTTAATGCTAATCTGACTAAGCACAAACATGTCTGGGAAAATAAATAAAATCTCAACTGAAGCGATCAAATTCAAATAACCGCAGCAATACAAGAACAGTTTAATTTTTGTTTTAAGCGAACCCCGGACAGTAGAGCGGTAAGAACACAAAATATTTAATTAACCACTAGGCCGGAAAAGAAACTGCAAATTTATGCGCCTTGAATTTGGCAAACAATAGAGATTGACTACCAAGACAGCACATGTGACACCAAGCTATATTTTATTCAAATCAAGGTAGAGGATGGAAGTGATATTGGTATATAGTTTTCGGGAGAGAATGTTTTTCTTAATAATCATTTTATTAAATTTTTAGTGTAAATTATTATTTTTTTTTTTATTTCTTATTTATTATAGTGTAAATACTTTTTTTTGAAAGATGTATATATTAGATACAGATAAAATTAAAAAATTATTATATTTTAATGAAGAGTTAATGTAATTTAATTTTTTTTTATCTGTATGAAACATATTGAAAATATTTTATAAATAAAACCAGAGCCTAGATGAGTAGTTAGTTTGGATTTTTTCGACTCGAATTGTAGTACTTCTTCAATCCTTAATATAAGATATACTACCTCCAGTCCTTAATATAAGATCTTACTTGATTTTTATTTTGGTTCTAAATATAAGACCTCAATCCACTCTGTCTCCCATATTTATGCATTTGTTCCCAAGATAGTCCTTCTAACAATGATAGTTCTAACTAATACCCTTGATTAGTAAAGATATTTTAGAAAAGACACCACCTATTTATTACAAATAACTAATTTAATTTTTTTAATCTTCTCAAATTAGTCAACTAGCTCTTATAATTAGGACCGGAGGTAGTATTTAATTAATGTGATTAGATTAAAAAGTTAGGTAAGTTAATTAATTATAAAAAAATATGACATGTTTTTTCTAAAACACTATAATCATCTTTCTTAATATTCTCCCTCCCTTTTCTAGTTGACTATAGTTGAAGGAGTATCTATATAGATAATTAAAAAAAAAAATATGATAAATAAATATTATATTTAGAATTAAAATCAACTCAATAATTGGTTCTATATTAAGGAGGAGTATTATTTTTCAATTAATCCATATTCGGGGAATTAAATGACTGCGAAAACGCGGAACCGAAACACTCGGACCCGCTTTGACTTGTGATTGACCAATGACCGGCAAAGGATCAATCAACCAATCGCAAGCTAAGAATTTGGTAATTACTATGAAAACCTAGCCAGTCATTACACGTCAATGATATCACTCCAACGTATAAACTCTGTATCAACTAGCATGTCACCTAGTAGCAAACAGATTACAAGATCCTACATGTTCAAGGGGAAATAAGAGAGGTAAAAAGGACAAAAAGGTTTGTGAAAAACCCACAGAATATGCAGATTTGAGGAAGAGGATTCCTGTTCATGCTTGATACGAGGTTAATTGAACCACATAATATTGCAAGAAGAAGGGTTCATAAGATCGAAACTCGTCTTCCTTATAATAGCTTGTTTACTGAGAAGCTGCAGAACACGCTCTGACCACGCTAGACAGTGGAGAACCTTAATATGCCCATACCAAGAATATAAAGCAAAAGCACCAGCAACAGCAAATCAAACAAAGTCTGAGATTTGCCCATATATCAATTACAGAAACAAAATACTCCGGCCAGAGGCCTAAACGTGCTTTTATTGGAAACCCAGTAAAAGTAGCAACATAAGCTGTGGGATTACAGTCCAAACAGAACAAGAAAAGAGAGCAGGAAAGTACAAATACAAAGTAGGAAATAATCGCGCCTTCCTGGAAACTCCCTCGAGACGCAGATCACAGAAGAGTGAAGTGAGACCAAGGGAGTTGTTGAAAATGCCAAAGGATCGAAGTTGCCCTTTAAAAGAGAATTCGCCTACACGAAGGAGGTCCATTCCCAGCAATCTTTATTTAGTCTCGCTGCTCCACACCTTACGAGCAGAAGAGCTTTGAAAGTATAGTGGCACAGTGAGATGGTGTACATGTGCGGGGACATTTATATGGTCCACCATCTTCTTCACCACCCCCTCAAAGCCCAAATGCACAGAAGCCATGGGGCAATGGAGGGAGGTCGCTGGGAAGCTTAAGGATTCACATGGTGCTGCAGACGGAAGAGGGTTTGAGCAAGAGGGCAAGATTGGTTGTTATAGGATTTGCTTGCTTCTTTGATCGCGACGGCAATAGAAGGCTGAGATGACTTCACTTAAGTAACTAGTGTAGAAGGTGACTTTTTGTTAAAGCAACATTTAAAAAATAAGGTATAAGGGAAAAAGCGAGTGAAGCGGAGGTACCTTATTTGGGATCTTCCAAAGCATATGCCTTTCCCACCTTCTCTCCACCGCGTATGTGTGATATGACTGTTCCTTTTCCTTCTCAATGCCTCCTTCTTTCCTTTCCTTTCCTTTCCTTTTCTTTCCTGAGGTAATAATGAAGACTCCTCACCTCTTTATAATAGTTTTGAATTTAACTCCCAGGCAAAAATTGCACACATCATGATTTCAGGTTGATTCCTTACGGTATTAATTAGTAACGTCATAATTAAATACGACTTATTTGTCATAGATCGGATCATTTTTTGCTAAATGGAGGGAGTTTGTTTTGAGGATTTTTTCATTGAAATGAAGAGAGGCTCCACGATAAAAGATTTTAAAAAAAGTCCGGCTTCCTTAATCCCTCACTTCTCTTTTTCAAAGTTATCAAGGTAAAAAGGATTAAGAAACGGGTATAAGGAGAAGGATATTGCCAGGCCAACATATAAAACTAATTAAGCCAGGTGTCACTCAATAATTTGTCATAGATTGAGAAGTGTCTCCTTTGGAAGGAAACGTCATTATCCTGCACAATATAATTATTAGTAAATGCTTTTCCCTGCCAGTATTTTAGGGCCTTTTCTCATCTGAGTAAGATTTCATACTCTCAGTCTCAATAGCAAGCGGCATTATTCTCTGCTTCCTTTTAGTTCAAGTTTGATCCCCTGCTTTTCCCCCTTTTTCGCATAATATATGCCTTTGAAGAGAAGTTATACTCTCTCGAGAGTGTTTTGAGACCAGTTTTAAATAATTAATCCGAGAGTTAAATATTTAAAATAGCCTCTCAAATGATGGGACTGAGGATCAATAATAAATCAACAGCTGATCCAGTACTTAATTTTCTGGACTTCCCTAATTGGTCACTTGCATTGGTCAGGATGACAACAGGAAAGTGAAAGATGAAGTGTGGCAATTGAAGAGCAGGTGAGATAAGAGAAGCCAATTATATGGTGCAAGAGAAGTTACAGCCTTTATGAGCTAAGCATTTTTTTTTTGGTTTAATTTCGAAAGTAAAGAAAACAAAAGAATTGGTCGAGGGCACGCGCCAGCTAGTGATGTGCATTATAAGTGGTAAACGACGAAGCTCCGCAAGAATATTATTTGATGCCGAATTAAACAGTATGGTACTTCCACCTCGTTTGCTCTTAATTTGACTTTCCTTTTGTTTTGTTTACTTTTTTGCCTTTTTTTTAATTTTTCAAGAAAGGGCAGTTAGTATTAGTAAGCACAGGTTCTAATGTCGAGAAGTTAAAGCAGGCATTTATACCATATGTCAGGACCACTAATCTATTCAGGTTCATAATATTTTAACTAAGGTTCCTTCTTTTATTTTATATTTTTTCTGGTTGATTTGCATGTTGACAGCTTCTGATATTCTTGATATGAAAATCATTTTTAAACTAGTGTTATGTGTATTAATTTTATTACCTTATTGACCATATATAATACTCCCTCCATTCCTTATTATAAGAGACATTTGATACTTATGGCATGTTCCTATATATAAGAGACACTTAAAAGTTATCTATACTTTTTTGTGTTGATTTCCTATTTTACCCATATTTATTGTCTCCAACTCACACTCTCTCTTCTTCCCATTTCTCTTTCTTTTAAAAATTTATCATTGTTCTCTCTCATGTTCTCTCTCCTTATTAATGAGGGCATTTTTGGGGAAAAAATTATACTTTTAACATATTAATTATTCTTAACTAATTTTAACTGTTTTTTTATCGACGTAATTAGGTTATTCGTCTCTTATAATAAGGAACGGAGGGAGTAATAAAGTATCGAGTACAGACTTTAATTTGATTTTGGACATCTTTGTTGAGTTTAACCTTTCAAATTTTTGCTCCCTTGCCTTGTGTTAGAAATTTAGAATACCAAATATCTTCTGTTAGGCAAAAAAAATGAGTTATTAGTTATGCAAATTGTTTAAAAGCGGTTCAGGACAGTGCCGACCTATGCAAGCACCTCAAAGCTATCATGCTGTCGCCCTCTCTCCTGCTCTCCTAGCTAGTGGGATCATCGTTAGGCACTATAATACAAAATAATTAGTAATGCCCCCTTTTTCTGTATTAAATAATAGCAGCATTTGGAGCCAATATATGACAGTAACATTCATGAAATGACAGTCAAACTAAATATTAACAGTCACTTCTAGTGTTATTCCCCCTCGAGTAACAGAAAACTGATATATGCTACGACCTTTATTGTTTTGTTATGATCCCAATCAATGATTCATTCCCAAAAAAGACACACACTATCCTTTCGCAGATAAGGAACTCAGACATTTGAATCAAGAAAGCTGACAATTGAAGTTAATTAAAGGGTCACATCCTTTTGGTTCTTAGCTACCTTCAGTTTCATTACAAGTTCCTCACGTTGTGCTTCTACCTCAGCAAATTTTAGGCTCATATGGAAGTAACGCTCCTGAAGGTCTCTCAACTCAGCCTCTAGCACTGATTTTGTTCGTTCAAATCTTTCTTTTGTCACTATGTCACCGTCTGCCATTGGGGCTTCCTTGTGATTCCGGCCTTGGGATTGACCCCTGTGGAATAATAGCACGTGCAAATCAGCAAGTGTCGCAAGATATTGACTGATGTTGAGAAAAATCACAAGGTTGTCAAAATCTGTGCACAGACATAACCAATGGTATAAAAACAAGTGTCCTCTCAGGACATCAGCCTATCCTTTCTGAACAGTTCTTTTTTAAAAGAGAAAAATGGAAGCCCTTAAAAGTATTTGTGCAATGGGCTATACACACATCAAAAGTTCTATTAATTCGTTTTTAAGGAACAGCCAGTTTCTCTAACCAGTTTGATTGATCTTCAATCATGTTATTTGCTCCTTCAGCTTTTATTAGTTCAGTCTCATGTAACTCAATATTTGACAATGAATCAGCTTCAACAGCATGAGCACTCCCATCAAGAAGTCCAAATTCATTTTCCACCTGTCAAAAGAAAAACGTCTCCAGGAACATAAGCATTAAGAACTACAGCGAAATTTTCAGCATAATTGCAGTTAAGAGAGATTACCATATAAAGCCACATCTAAGAAATTAGAAATACAAGTCATAATATTTAATGCCGAGGCAGAATGGTAGAGTAATATAAAAGTCTGAGGCCCAATAAGTAAGACCCAGCAACTATAATGAATCTTCTATGTAGTGTGGAAGGTTGTAAACAGACTCTTGAGAATGAACTTACGACTTCTCCATTTTGTGTTTCTTTCTCTCCAATTTCTAGTACAAAATGCAATAAAGTAATACTCTAATTGAATGAATAACCTCGCTCTGATGCTTGCCAGTGGAAATGTCCCGTTCATCCTGCACCTTTTCTCTATCATTTCTGAAGAATGACTTTGTCCTATTCCCACGATGTTGACCAGGATTCTGCACAACAGAATTCTGCAAAATTTGAAAAAAAAAAATGACACCAAACGTAACATGCAAAGATGAGCAAAAGGAATATTAAGTTTTGATACCTCCAGAGCTTCATGAGCACGTAATGTCTTCCCATTAATCTCAGACTTCAGATTTTGCTTTTGTTCCTTTATTAGTTTCATTTCTTCTTCAAGGGCTTCGGCTTTTGTCTTGAACTCATCCTTTTCCTTGTCTAGTAATCGTATTGTTTGTTGATAATGCCTGTTTATTCTTTTGATGTGACTGAGCTCATTTTTCTTCTCAGCTTCCTGAGCAGATATTGTTTCCTTTTCCTTCAAATCACTCTCCATCCGCATAAGCTTTTCTTCTAAGGATACTCTACTCCTTCTGCAGTCTTCCAATTCAGACACAGCATTCTCCAAGGTTAAAATCTTTTCCACAAGTGATTTTTTCTCTGCCTTCAGATTCTCACATGATTCAGAAATCAAGCATAAAGATGCTCCCAGTGTTTCTTTCTCAGAATTGGTTGATTTGAGCTCATTTCTAAGAGCCATATTTTCATTCTCAAATCTTTCTATCTGATGCAGTTGAATCTTCAAATTCTCAGACTCCTCCATAAGCTGTTGCCTTTCATATTCAGTGACGTTAAGCTTTAATTCAAGGGATTTCAGAGTGCTATTGACTGTTAGTTCTCGAGATTTGTAATCGTCCACCTGCTTCAACAACTTTTCATGGTCAGCCATCCAAATTTCCTGGTCACTTTTGAAAGCAGAAAACTGGGTTGTGAGGTCCTGCAGCTTTCGTTCATAATCTGTCTGCATAATATTCATCTCATTCTTAGTTGAAATGACATCAGATTGAACTTCTTCAAAGGCATATTGCAGTTTGGCTTTATCAGCAGTTAATGCAGAAATTTCAAGGGTAGCATTGGAAGCTATCCTTTCATTTTCATTACGAGTAGCTGAAAGTTCCATACAAAGATGCTCAATTTTTTGTTGAAGGCTCTGAATTTCTGCTGTCTTCTCCATGAGAATCTGATTCATCAAGCTTTCACCATGCTCGTTCTGTCTGATATTTTCATCAACAAGAACATCTAATTCTGAAATTAGACTCTTCTCCTTTGAGGCATTCTCTTCCAGCACAAAAGCAAATTTATTTTCCAAGAGCTCTACTCTTTCAGAGCAATCTGTAAATTTTTGGTCTGATTCTCCCAACCTATCTACGAGGATTGAGCAATGCACTTGCAATTCCTGCTTTTGCTTTCCTAAATCTCCATTTAATTTCTGAAGAGAATCACATTCTTTAGCGAGATTCTCAATAGTAGTTTGTAACTGCAGATTTGCTCTTCTTAGATATTCACATTTTTGTTGAGATTCTGACAACTGACACTGTGTCACCTTTAAGTTCTGTTTCAAATCTTCTATTGAAGAATCCACCTCAGACTTTATCTTCATAATCTCCTCTTGAAGCATTTTGGCGTGAGATCTGGAGTTCTCTAATTCTGATAGACCAGAATCTCTCTCATTTGTCAAATACATTAGTTGAGCTTCTAAAACAGACATTTGCATTGCCAATTGTCCTTTTTCCTTTTCCAGGTCTGACATGTGACGCTCCAGTTCATGTTTTCCATTTTCAAGCTCCAACGATTTTCTTCTGAGAATTTCATTGGCAGAAACATGGGAGTCCATGCTCCTGCTAAGAATTCCCAAGTCATTTTGCAAGTCATTCAAGCATTTAGTGTTAATATCTCTTTCTTTCAACATGACCCCCATATGCTCCTCTAGTTGATTTTTTTCTTCCTGAAACTCGCATACCTTTGCTTCCAACTCACTCTGTCGATTCTGCAGAACCCTGATCTCCTTTTCCTTAGATAACAAATTAGCGTCAAGATCTGCCATCTGAGATGTTTTATCAGTCACCTCATTATTCAGTTCTGCCATTCTGATTTCAAGAGCAACTTTTGAACTCTGGAGCCCTTGAATTGAAATCTGATCATCATTTTTAACCTCGCCTATGACTCCTGCTTCAAGCTTGTCTTCTAAATGGAGTGCTTGGAAGGCATCTGAGATATCTGGCTGCAAATCCACACATGCTCCCCTTCTTGAATTGTTCTTCACTTTTTTAAGCTCGAATAAAAGCTCAAGATTTTCATCTGCCAACTCATTGCATTCCATCTCTAGCTCTTGAACTTTTCCTCTCAAAACTTCAATTTCACTCATCAGATCCACATCACCTCCATTTCGAGACACAATCTCTGTGTTACACCTTTCTTTGAGGGACTCAGACAACTTTGCTTTCAAATTTAAAATCTCCCCCTCTTTTGCAGATAATTTGCTTTCATATTGTATTTCAAGATCCACAAGGTTTTTGTTGATAGTATTCTCTGCGCTTTCAACGTCAAGCCTTTTGTTCTCCAAAGCTGAAAGACTATCTATCTCAATTTTCTGCTGTTCTATGGTCTCTTCAAGCTCATGGAGAATAGAAACAAGCTCAAGATTCGCTTCCTGGTTCCTCTTCAATTCCAAACACAAGTTGGTATAGGATTCTTTCTGAAACTTCAACTCATCTTTAAGAGCCTTCTCTACTTCTGGAGTAAATTCACCTTGAGATGATGAATCCTCCAATGCTTTCTGTTTTGCCATCTGGTCCTCCAATGACTGCCTCAATTGTTGAACTTCTCTTCTCAATGTCTCACGTTCCACACATGAATCTGAAAGCTCCACTCTTAAATCTGCCAGATTTTTAGACTGTTCTGAGAATTCTGTCCTCAACATGTCCAAATCAACCATCAGTTTCCGAGCATTCATCTCCCACATCATAGCTTCTGCCCGAAGTTCCTCAACTATGTCTTCTGCAGCATCAACACGGATCTTAGAAGAATTGGTTACGCCAGAAGTTGAAGTACCAAACTCTTGCAAACAATACAAATTCCCTGGGCCTGTAGTCTGGGAATTGAATGATGAAGAATTCGATTGAGAAGAATCATAAAAAGGAGCATAGCAGAGAGATGACTTGTTCTGGAAACTGACTGAATCAGGTTTTCCAATTCGGCTGGGTCCATCATCTCTCAAAGAGTTATTTTGAGAGATGCCTCCCCTTCCTATGGACCCCTCGGCTGAGTTATAACTGCCATGTGAACCAGGTCCAGAGTAACTTGTTGCCTATAGTCAAGGGAAAACATGTCACCAGTATAACGATTTAGACTTAACAACAACAAATTGTGTCATAACTCATGGAAGATAGGAACCCTTGCTGAATTAGAATCTTAAAAAAACGAATGGCCTTAAGACTCATCAGGATCAAATTTCATTTGCAGCTCCATACAAGCCATGAAAGTATATTAAATCTGAGGTTACCACTGAACTAGAAATTTTGTGATCTTACCCTACTCTCAACTTCTGGAGGAGCAGAGGCAGAGACCAAATCTCCAATGGAGGGAGATCCAACATTCTGTACATATGAATGATTAGATCCATTAGACTCAATAGTTGCATCATCATTGTCCGCATTCAGAGCCTTTGTTTGGTATCTCTCTCTTGATTCTTGAACCCTGAAAATGTACAAGAGATCAATACTCTCAAGAATGATAGTCTAAGATGACAGGAAATACAATCCTTAAATAGATACCTTAATTGTCCTCTTGGTGTGAGACACTGGACACTCACCTGTAAAATGTAGAACCACTTAGTTACCAACTTCAATTGTTCCAAAAGAACAATTACCCAACCCAAGTTCAGTGATATCAATGTGTGGTAGTAACTTAGGTAAAAAGGACCCAGGTTTTACTTCATATACTCTTCTAAGCATGTATGATTATTGATAGTAACTAGAATATGCGTCCTGTGCTTTGCACAGAATAAAAAATGAGCCAGTCATCCAATCTCACAACATGACTGACCAGAAAATCAAGAAAGGGATGCTTTTCTTTTTCTGAAACCAGTAAAATGTAAAATAAAAAGTAAATTCCAAAGGCCTAAGTTATCTGACTCACATGCAAAATTGTCCCATGGTTGCACTTATTGAGTGGGGTTGAAAGCGGAACAGCAGCACTTGAACTCATGTAATTGGTCACACTTACTGTAGCTTCTCCAAGGATGCCAGATCTTGGTGATCCCTGTTGGGAAATTATGAATCACATGTTCCTCTTTTAGAAAATCAAAGAAATTCTTAGAACAGATTTTACTAGATAGAGAAATCACCTAAAAAGTACAAAATCCCATGCAAAGCATGGATTCTAAGTAGGTTTGAAGTACATAACAAAACAATAGCAGCAATAGTGGCAGTACCGTGGCAACAACAAGCTTGAGGACACAATCTTCTATCTCCTTGGAAGAACTATTTTTTGGAACCCATATGGATTCTGAAATAGAATCCCCCCATTGGCAGCCTCCATTGCGCACTTGTGCTCTGCTTGATTTTGCAATTGTTTTGCCATTTTCTGCAGAGATAACAGAAATGAACAGCTTGTCCCACCCCTTCGGCACCTGTTATATAAGAGTCAGCATTAATTAATGAATAATAACTGAAGCAGCCTTATTTTTCCTTTGCAACCCCAGATACCCTTTCAAAGGATTTCCACATGCAGCTGTCAATAAAGACCTTGTGAATATCAGCATAGCTTTTCCATAAAGAAGTTATCATGCTATAGCAGCTGGTTTTAATAATACATGACTATGTTAGCCCATGACATAGAAAGCCACCAAATAATAAATTTGAGACGCACTTAAGCCATATTTTACCAGCTCATTACCAATGCCAAAAAATTGTGGTCAGAATCATCCCCTGTAACCTGGATTTGATGTAGTCTGTACCGAGTTCTTGATTTTAAATAGTGCCACATTCCCTAAACATCTCCAATTACTGTCAAAATTGTATTATTTTAAATACGCAAGAAATGTCACTGTATTGTGTTTTTAATTGCTCCAGCTCAGTTGCTTTTCCATCTTCTCTGATCACAAAAAAGCATCTAGTTTCCACTCATCACAACTACATCATATCAGGCGCGTTATCATTATGATCATCAGTTCCCAGAGAAAATTTATAATGCACAAGGTGAACTCAATGCAGAAGATCATCCTATTTAAGACACAGACAATGCAATGAACAGTTGATTCCTTCCCATTATGTCCTGAGGTTAAACAATCGAGCAAAACAATTAAAGAGAAGAAAACTAAAAAGATATTATGGAAATGGGAAATAGAATCAAAGGAACCTGGAAGGCCTTTAAATGGGAGAATTTGAAGTCAATTCTCTTCACTGATTTAGATGACCCATTTTGGTGCAGCCTAGACATTTTGCCCCCTCTAACTCTCTGTGTTAATCTGCTATGGGTCATATTCGGTTCTTCCCCAGTCACTCCCACTAATTCAAAATAAGCATGGCTACACTCACCATCACCACCACCTTCCACACTACTTTTCATGTCCTCAACCACCATTACCAACAAGAGGGAGAAGAGGGAGGGAGAGTGAATAACGTCAATTAGCGAGAGAAACAAAGTGAAGCGTAAGCTAGCGGGTATCTGTTATTAAATTGTTGCTTCAACCATTGGCGTTACATTGTTGGGGACATATATATATTTTGATAGGCATGAAGTAGAAGTGAAGTATTAAGAGGAAGCAAACCCGAAGGAAACAGCACAGTAGCTGTAGGCTGACGCGTCGCGCGCTGATTGGCCAAGAATTTATAGGTCTCAACGCTTTGAAATTCCTTCAGTTGCATCGAGACAGGAGAGGATAACAAGATGGTGCGAATGCAAACTACGAGGCCGATTAAGGCACACAACAGACTGAAGAGGTCTGCCATTTTGCCAAACAACAGAATGATACAGCCTGTTCACAAATGGGCAATGGCTTAGTTTTGGGGGGTTAAAAAAACTGAAAAGAGTTGACGCGTTGCAGTAAAATAATGAACCTCGTAATGATTTTGGCCTGTCGCTCGAAAACAACGAGGTTGTTAAAGGAAGAGAAAAACCGAACTTGTATGGAATTATAACGGAAAGAAGACGTGTTGCAAAATGAGGGAAATGGATCCATCTCCGTCCAAAACATGGAACAAATCCCAACAAAAAAACAATGGTTGCAATTCTCATCTTAAATATAAGACTCTTATACTAGCATATATAAAGGTCTTATATTTAGAACCCGAAAAGTAACTTATTAACGACCAAGATTAAATCTGCAGCTACCGATCAATGGCAAATAATATTTTCACGAAAGTCGACTTCAGAATTTTTAAACATGATGTTTTATGCAAGCAAATCAGGAATTTTTTTTTAAAACTTTTTCTAATAACAATATTTTTCGCTTTTCTATATGTAATAATGTATTTCATACCTAATTTACCGCCCAAGCGGTTTTATCAAGATAATTTTAAAATTTATTTTTATCCTTAATAATAGAAATTATTAATATCATTGAATGTTATTGATCTTTGAGAAATTGTAATAATAGAATACTAAATTAGTGCTTACTTGACATTTAACTACCCCCAATTTCTAATGGTCTCGTTATCATACGAGGAATAAAATCTATACGATTTAATGAAATATCTACGAAAAGTTTACTAATGAAATAATTTTGTCAAGAAAAAGGAGCACTATCTACCTGCCTATAAAATACACATTATACGAGTGAATATTATATGCATCAATGGCACAAAAAAAGAAATTATATGCATCAACACAACTAGACACTTATCAATATATATTAATGTTGCGAGTGTGGTGAGAGGAGCAACGAGAGGAAGGCATACGTATTATATTGATGCATACCATAGAAAAGGAAAGCCAACGTAAGGCGCAAAACAACCTTTATATTTTTTGAGAGGATTTTCTGTTTTCGTGAGTGATACAGTTTTCAAGTCTGTGGGATATGGCAAGTACAGGTTTCAACGGTTTTATCTTTTTTCATTGACTTCTCTCCTCATTCGGTTCCGGTTCATTTTGATGGGGTGCTTTCAGAGTCATTATATAACCACCCCCGAGGATGATAAGCATATTGAAGCTAGGTTCCTACAAATAAAGAATAAGAACAAAGTAAATAATATTGAAATAAGACAAAAACTAAAGCCTAGAAGGTTGGAATTACAGTCTTACTAAAACGTTCCAACCCATTTATTTTAGATACTAAAACAACAACAAAAGCAGTTCCTCTTCCATCGATAATGGATTTGAAACATCTGAATGAGCTCTTACCGCATCCATGAGAGCAAGAATATCATTTGGTATCAGAGTATAGGTTTCTCCAACGTGTTGTATTGTTCCATTTCATTCCCTATCAAATTGTTTAGTGGAATAAATTTAACTACTGTATCCATAGTTCTTCATATAGTGAGGCAACCAATAGAAGTTTTCTTGTTTTTTCCCCAGTAGGAAACACGAAGCATCAAAACAACTCATCAAAACCAAGACTCTTTTAATAAGTCATGCATTTTTATTTTGTTCCACATCAATTGGCATCAGAGCACCGGTTTCTCTAATAGAGGTGATAATAAGTCATGAGTTTCTCTAGGGATAAGTCAAGAATTCAAATACTAGATTAAACTTATCATATACCCAAGGTGAGCTTAATGTAAACTAAAAGTCGATGAAAGATCAAAAAAAGAGATCAAAAGCCTTACCTTGATCCCACAGCTTCAACCTTCTGATGAAGCCTTCTTCTTTGAACCAATCCCTCATATTGATGTCGCCATAATAGAAGTTCAGCAAAGTCCGTCCATCGACCGACCATGTTGGCTAGATTGAGTCATGACAAAGAAAAATGAACACAAATAAGAGAAAATAAGGTTGGAGAGAGAATGAACAGGAAGAAAATAAAAAAAGGATGAGAAAGGGACAATTAGAAACTATGCAAAGAATATAAAAGAGAAGGCTCATATAAAAGACCCCTTCCCAACACCAACATTTAGTTATTAGGAAATGAGTAAAACAGAAAGAGCATTTTGGTTAGTGTGATTGTTGTGTGCGCCAAGGTCATCAGAAGCCTAGGTTAAAAAAGTATATACTCTTGAATTGCTTTTTTAAAGGCATATCATTTTCATATCTTATTATTTTTATTGTAATTATATATTTTTCACATGATGTTCTCTCTCTTTTCCATTGGCCTCTATGTAAAACTCGTGTGGAATCAAAGGAATCTGAAAGCAGTTTAATTGATGGGCCAGATACTAATTTCTTTGTTTTTTGAGTTAATTAAGTCATTTGCTTTCATTTGTACGCCATTTTGATGTGCAGTAATATGTTTTACTACCTCCGGTCCTAATTATAAGAGCCAATTGACTGATTTGAGGAGATTAAGGAAGTAAGTTTGGTTAGTTATTTATCCTAAATAGGTGTTGTCTTTCCTAAAATATCCTTACTAATCAAGTGTATTGACTAGAACTATTATTGTTAGAATGACTACTTTGGAAAAAAATATATAAATATGAGAGACAAAGTGGATTTGGGTCTTCTATTTGAGACCAAAATAAAAATCAAACAGGGTCTTATATTAAAGATCACAGGTAGTATTAACAAAAGTCTCGTAATAAAATTTTATCATAAGAAATGTCATTAAGTTTGGTTGGCAAACAAAAGAAGCATAAGAGGACAAAAAGTAAGATGAGAAAGCAGGGAGAACACTAACCTGCGGAAGGGACGATAATCAATCCTACTCGCGGGACAGAACCAATTTCACTTTAAATTCGTTAGATTTTAATTGTTCATATCTTATTTGCAATCGTCCGAATTTGACTTATTTTTTTAGAATAATTATTTTAATATGTATAGAATCTAAAATATAGATTATTTTGTAACTATTATATTTTTCAAAAAAATAGTTTTCCCTATTTAAAAATAACTAATTGAATATTTTAAATCTGAATCATTCAAATGAGGTATAGACGGTCAAAATCTAATAAGTTTAAAATACTCGTTAAGATGATGAGTATTGAAACTAGATCCTTCTTCGCAGGATGGAGTCTTGGCTGCTTGATGTCGCAAAGTCGACATAGCTCATGCACTATTTGTTGGGCTAAGTGCCTCCTAAGTGGTTATTAGAAAGGCACAACAGTATCATCTAATATTTGCTTTAGTTTTATAAATCCGTGCAATGATAATTCTGTTTTTTTTTTTGGTTAAGTACTACATCATAATCGCCAATTCAGTCCGCAAAACATGAAATAAAAATTGCATAATAAGTCATGACAACGTTTTAACTGCCGCAATAACTTTTTTTAATTGCATTTATACTCCTTCCGGTCATTTACCTGTATCACGCACACGCAGGTTCACGCTTAAGCAGTCGTCGATTTTGAACCGCGAGGTTCACGCTTATTGGCTGAAAGCCAGGCTTATATTTTATTGCATGTGCTTTTTTTAAAAAAAAAAAATTAACATAGTCCTAATTATAAGACCCTACAAACGAGGTTTTATAATTAGAACGGGATATAGTATTTCTTGTGGTGTGTGGGTGGTTTTTATTTTGACGCGGTACCAAACTCACTGCACAAATAAAATTTAAATCAAGAAAGAAGATCCAGATTCTGAAGTGAACACTGTTCAAATCCACGGAACTTTTCTATTAACAAGTCTCTCTATTGAGCTTTCATTTATATAAGACACAGCGTTTAACAACTTTTTTTTCATAAAAAAAGTAGGCTAGTACTTCAATTTCTGACTTCAAGCCTTCAAGACAAACCGTGATACGTAGCGTAGCATTTAAACACTGTTTTCAAGGGAAAAAAAATAAAAATGATAAACCATTATGAAAAATCAACGTTTGAATCAAAATTAAAATAAATATAAAATGCGTTATTTGAACGAAATTTTATTAGGGCATCCATGAATTCACAAACAATTTCACAATTTTAAATAGGAGAGTTTCTAGATTATTAAAGAAAAATTTTAACATTAAAGAGGCAAAACATAAACTAGGATATTTGAAGAAAATTTTTATCTCATTTTGTCTTCTCGTTCTTATAAATCACTGTCTAATCATATTTGTAAATTCAAGAAAATTTCTGTGCCGTCAAGCGTGTATTGTTATTGTAGTTGTCGTTCCAAACAAAGTTCCAATCCTTGTATTATCATCCATAGTAAGGTCGGCAGCGTAGAAATTTTCCTTCAAGTCAAGCCTACATTTGTTTTCCAAAAAAATTGTTAAACGCTGCGTTTTATATAAATGGAAGCTCAGTCTCAGTGGAAAGGTTTATCAATGGAGAGGTTCCGCTCCGTCAAATCCAACCCTAATCCTTCAACTGGACACATTAATGTGGCTTGTTTAATCATTCACTTTTGCTCTATCCAAATTAAATTCTAATCCATCGCATTAAAAAAAAAAAAAAACACTTGCTAGTTGCCATATATATTGGCGCAAGAAATAGAAACAAATTTTATTTATTAACTTAAAACCCTCTTAATAACAAACGCAAAAATATCCGTCTTCCGCTGGTGAAATG